TGGAACCTTCGTCATGCTCCCAGAAATCTCCGTTTGCCATTATTTGCCATCACACTCGATTTCTCTTTGAATATCAGCACGTAGTCGATCCTTCTCATGAAACACGGCATCCCCCAAATCGCCATCACGTTCGCGTGATATTTGTTCACCTGGTGCATGGTAGGCACTTTGCACACATTGAAGAGATTCGCAAGCTCGACGACAATATAGTCGCCGTTCGGTATACCCCCCGGCTGGAGCGCATAACCAAGGAATAGTCCTGCTAGAGATGAGGGTTCAAATTTCGCCCTAGCGGCCCCCGCAGGATAAGTCATTGTCATAGCATCAATCCATTCTACCATATCGTACGATTTCTCGTGCGTTCTCTTTTCTTCCTCGAAAAATTCCTCATCGGACAAATCTTCCAAGCTTGACCCAGGCTTTGCAGCGCCGGCGGGGTGTCGTAACCGGGTACACTTTCGGGCAGTCCATGACCTTGTTGCTCTGTGAACACCCCCTACCAGCTAGAACGCTGCGCGCCGTCGACGAAGCCTTGGTCGCCATATATACGCTGGGTGCCGAGTTACCACGCGCTCAAGGGCCTGCATGACTTAGGCTGCGCACACGGGACTCCAAGTGCCGGTCGTCCTGGCGCGTGAAATCTGCTATAGCGCTTGCTGCTGGTGTTTTGGCGTTTCATGTCAACTGACTAGCTCAAATTCTTCAAGTCGCAGCACGAAACGTGCGCCCGCGTGAACATAAACGCTGAACGCACAGCGAGCGCAGATTCCACACACAATACATCACAACACCAGCGCCTCCTGCGTCGTTGCCCGGAACGACAGGTTCGCGACAATACCGCGAATGGACGGAGTCTTGAGACTCAATGAGAAGCGCAGGAAGGCCAGGCCTTAAGACTCGCGCTGCTGAGAATCAGCAACCCCTGCAGAAACAACACGCAGTCAAGGCACTGCGCGGCCCAGGAGGCCACAGGATCTTGACTCTCTCGAGTCAGTCCAAGGCCTGCGTCTTGACGTCCTGACGTGCCCAGTCCGCAACTTGCGACGTCCAGTCATTGCTTAACCAAGGACAACATGAAAGGAACTTGACAAGCTCCGGCTGCGTTGTTGCGCCGTTGCCGTCCCCGTCCATGTCGCCTGACATCCCGACGCTGGCAAAGTTTTCAATACTGGTGTCTTGGAGTATCCTGGCTTGCTGCTCAGACTGCTACCACGTGCTGCTAAAAGCCACCGTCAGCCAGCGCGGAGTTCATCTTGCCGCGCAAACTGAGAATGATGCAGTTCTTCTCAAATGGGCCGGCCTCCTGGCCATTGGCTCAGCTCGCTGGAACGGCCTAGGAACTGTTTGTTGGCTGCAGGGCAGGGAGATTGGTAAAACAAGGAGGAGATTGCCACTTTTCAAGCGCCAGTCCTCGGGCGGGACCACAGCCGTGAGAAGACAAGCGTCCATTGGGCTGTGTGTGGCATGGGTACCGACAGACCTCAGTTGCGGCTCGGGGCCGGCACGTACGATCGCCCTCTGTGGCATGACGGAACGGGCACCAAAACATCGCCACTGCATGCAACTCAGCCTTTCAGGAATCTCTCGCCATCGCTGACAATGCATTTGTCCGGGCCCAAGGTGTCGCCGTGGTCGTAGCCGAACACGGCCGTGACCATGCAGGCCGGTGCGCTCCTGTGGAATAGACTGCGTGGACAATGCTTCCACGCGCGTCAAGAAGCACTGCACCGCAAGTCTGAGAACGAGGCCAGCTCCGGGCGGGCTTGTTCACCCACTTCTCAGACGCAGATTGAACCCCCCCCCTGTCACTGTGGGATCATGAGGTTCACACGGCACATGGCTCATAAAGCGCCTATCCCTTGTCATTGTGATGCTCGGTAGAGTTGTAGATGGTTTTCGGTCTCGGGCCGCTTCTCCAGTGGATCCCTCAAGCAAGCAACGATCGCCAGGGCTTTCTCCTCATCATGGATAATGTGCATCTACATGCATTTGACCAGCATGAATAGAGATTGACACATGTACAGCAAAGTTGTTTCATTTGAGGCTGGTGTCAGAAACGAAAAACCTCAGGGCCGAATCACCTGCTTGCCATGCACCATCTGGTCACCAACACCCTTCACTGCGTCCAGCTGCTTGAACGGAGCAGCCCACACGTTTGAACGACTCGGCGGACTGTTGTACTCGCGCGGGCCTGGCAAGAGGAACAACGACCAAGGCAAGCCAAGAGGCATCCAATGCGGTCCAACTCTCCGAGCAACTGCTCAGGGAACGTGTGCTAGCAGAGGCATCTGGACGTCGATGCCACTCGCAGGCACTCTTGGCAGCCATTGGGTCTCACAGTTAGCGACGCTGCAGCCTTTCCTTCTGCCAGCAGAGGACACAAGCCTGCAGGATGCGAAGCGGGAAGTAGGACGCATCTGCAAGGCGAATGGTAGAATCAATCACCGCGCGCAGATTCGTGTCCACGTCCAGATAGAGCTGGTACACGTGGCCAGCTGCGTCCCCAGTCAACCCAAGGCAACCAGCCAGCGAAGCCTGCACCCCTCGTTACCCGCCCTGATGCAGACGTTGGAGACCTGTCTTGCCAGCGCATCCAGCTCTTGCACACAGGCATCGCCAAACGGCACTGCGCCAATCAACGGCTGCAAATCACTCTGATTCGTACAATGTCGTACAACGTGCAATGTAGGACACACACACACACACACACACACGCATACCATACACATACACATACACATACACAGACACAGACACAGACACAGACACAGACACAGACACAGACACAGACACAGACACAGACACAGACACAGACACAGACACAGACACACACACACACACACACACATGCACCCATGAAGACAGCAACTCAAGAACCCGTCCTGCTTCTCGGCGATCTCCTGTTGAAATGCCGCCCGCGCTGCGTTCAGGGCCGCTTGCGTGCTAGCGCGGCACTTCTCAAGAAGCTCCGTCAGAAGGCGCTCGGCTTCAGGGCCTTATAAGCCAGTTGGCAAGCCTCCTGCGCAGTGTCTCTCTTGCCTAGCAACTTGTTGGAGCTGCTCGTGGCCCACCACCCAGGTGCACTCCTGCCTTGGACCCCATAAGGGTCCAGGGGTTTAGGGTTTAGGGTTTAGGGTTTAGGGTTTAGGGTTTAGGGTTTAGGGTTTAGGGTTTAGGGTTTAGGGTATAGGGTTTAGGGTCTAGGGTTACGATCCGCAACAACCCCAATAATACCCTGAACCATTTAGGGTTTAGGTGCTAGGCTGGCTAAACTCTTGACCAAGTTTAGGGTTCAGGGTTTAGGGTTTAGGGTTTAGGGTTTAGGGTTTAGGGTTTAGGGTTTAGGGTGTAGGGTGTAGGGTTTAGGGTTTAGGGTCTAGGGTTTAGGGTTTAGGGTCTAGGGTCTCTAGGGTTCGCCGAGCTCTCAGTTCACTGTCCAATCTCGAAACCATCCTGTGCTCAGGCAAGGTAAATGCAGCAAGAGCGCCAGCCCATCTGGCCAAATTCTGAAGCACTCATCCTCAGTGCTTTTCGGGTTTAGGGTTTTCTGGGGGCTTTGGGGGTTTAGAACTTAGGGCTTCAAGGTTTTAGGGCCTTCGGGTTTTAGGGCTTTAAGGTCTAGGGTTGAGTGAGGGTATGCCCTAAACCCGAAAGCCCCTTCATGAAGATATGTTGCGCTTCGCGGGTGCGCCTAGTATACACTATATCAGGTACATGGATCCTTAGGTTAGGGCTTGGGGGGGAAGATCGCATGGCCACTCCAAGACGGAACCAACAAAACCCTCTGAGAAACGAGCACGATTTGGGCATTTCCCACAATAGGGGGGGTACCCCTTTTATACCACAGAGAGAAGAAACTCCCCCGAAATCGGTACCCCTATTTTCGGGTTTAGGGTTTAGGGTTTGGGGTTTAGGGTTTAGGGTTTAGGGTTTGGGGTTTAGGGTTTAGGGTTTAGGGTTTAGGGTTTAGGGTTTAGGGTTTAGGGTTTAGGGTTTTTCGGAAACCCCCATTCCCCACGACGCCGCGGTCGACTTCTTGGGAACCTCGACATGGGACCATGCTCTTGGGGTAGCTCCATGGCCCCTTAGCATGGGCCCCTTGAAAGGGGGCCCTTTTAAAACAAACCTTTATACGGTTTAGGGTTTAGGGTTTAGGGTTTAGGGTTTAGGGTTTAGGGTTTAGGGTTTAGGGTTTAGGGTTTAGGGTTTAGGGTTTAGGGTTTAGGGTTTAGGGTTTAGGGTTTAGGGTTTTTTAGGGTTTAGGGTTTAGGGTTTAATTAGGGTTTAGGGTTTAGGGTTTAGGGTTTAGGGTTTAGGGTTTAGGGTTTAGGGTTTAGGGTTTAGGGTTTAGGGTTTAGGGTTTAGGGTTTAGGGTGTAGGGTTTAGGGCCCATAATGCCAACCTAAGACATTCTCGGGCCCCAGCAGGCTAAGTATTGCAGCTTCGCAAAGGAGGCGCTGTGATCGAATATGTTGCCAGCTGCCTGGTCACGGGAGCTGGCCACCCCTCAGCTCTAGACTCATTGTTTAGGGTTTAGGGTTTATAGGGTTTAGGGTTTAGGGTTTAGGGTTTAGGGTTTAGGGTTTCGGGTTTCGGGTTTCGGGTTTAGGGTTTCGGGTTTAGGGTTTAGGGTTTAGGGTTTATTATAGGGTTTTGGATGTAGCGTTTGTGGGCTTGCGGCCGGGGAGCGGGCCGGGGGCAGGCGATAGCGTGGGGGGGGAGGCGGAAGTGGCCCAGCAACCAAAGAAGACCCGAATGGTGTCCAACCCCGCCCCCTCTCCCTACTGCACGTCGCAACAAGACAAACACCAGTGATTGGCATAAATATCACATGGCGATCCTAAGCTCATGAAGTCCCAAACCCTACACCCCGAACCTAAACCCTGAACCCTGAACCCTGAACCCTGAACCCTAAACCCTAAACCCTAAACCCTAAACCCTAAGCCCTAATCCCTTGCTCAAACTGAACTCGACGACCCCTGCATGAGCCTTGAGGCACC